CGTACACACCGTCTCCCATTGCATCACACACATCGTAGCACAGGTAATATGGAACGAAGGCAGCGCAGACATCAGGGGAGAGTTTCTCCCCTTTCAGGGAGATGTTTCTACCGAAGATGTGCAAGCCTGAAGGGTGGGTCGAATTCGAAGCTGGTAATCATTGGCGCATTTCCTTGCATGAGGAATATTCCGGGGGTCATTGAGCGTTTAATTTCCATAGTTTATAGTTGGGATTATTTTCTCTTACACAAGCCTAAGTTTTTTGATGAATGGACTCGTCTTCTTTTACTATGAATGGCTTAAGTTTACTGGAGCAATTTCTGACCGACAGCATCTGGTGCGCACTTTTTTATAAGACCAGATTGGCATGTGGTTCTGTGGTCGTGGAGGTTTCTGCGCAAACTGCTGTATTAAGTGGCCTCTGCACTCTCTTGCGACACTTGGGCAGGCGTGTCCGAAGTTTGACGCCAGAGCGCATGACTCATACCGACAAGCTTAGCAGGGCTTCGACCATTATAAATCCTGATCGTGGTCATGCATCCTTTGGAGCGGCCCACGTCTGTGACGTGTACACCGCTGAGAAAAGTAGCTGGTCACAAACATCCACTCAAGGCTACTCAATGTATCCGTGTTTTTCTCCAAGTGGCACGCAGTGCAGACGCCACCTGAGAAGAAATGTCTGCTTGCAACGGCTTTCGAGCGTCTTCTGGCAGCTGTTTCTCTGCCCCTTTAGATAAGTGAGCTTTCGGCCTACCGTGGCAAATGTTTTATCAACAGAGATAAGGTAGAAAGTGCACCCACGTCCGTTAACTCACAATACAAAGAATTGGCGCGGCACCATTGCTGTACGTACCGCTGTAGATAAGACCTTCTGACACAACCCTACCCGGTGAGTATTCGACTGCGACGGGCCCAACTGCAGATGATTGCTGCCCAGCAAGTAAATTTACTCAAAGTAATGGTAAGTTGATGGGAGTGAATTGGGGAACGAGTTCATATTCGCACTTGCGACCAGTACTTTTCTCAATAACTGATACTGTGCAAGATTTCTCCCCAGCACACTGACGACTTGTGGCATAGCCGAATGAGAGGAAAGGCCCATCGTGTACCACAGGCTATGCATTCGCCTGCCTGGAATTTCGGACTCTTGCCGGAGTCCGCTCAATGGAGCAAAATACTCGGATCGGAAACTGTGACCACTAAGAGGCAGTGCAATCAATGGTCAGTGTTTAAATGCTGATAATGACTAAGAGAACACGAAGTCAGTATATCATCCAGCTGTCTTATCAGATCTCAAGGTTTTTTTTCAATTCACACCCCGACCGCACTGTGTCAGGCCGGTAGAAAAATATCGAGGAGACTACTACGCCGTATTCAAAAGTTCTGTCAGTCTGTTAACTGAGACATTCTACTAATAATGCGAGCAAATGGGTTGAATACGAGAACAATTGTCCTTCTCATTACAGGTGTCATTCCAGTGGAAACCTAATTCCTTACCCTTATCCTAGCTCCTCCTTAGAATTTAGCGCAAGGCTACCTGTACTTGAGGGACAATTGTTCCTGTATTCAACCCATTTGCTCGCATTGTTAGTAGAATGCCTCAGTTAACAGATTGACAGAGCTTTTCAGTAAGCAGCACACCTTCTGAACGCACACATTTTCTTCAATTTTATCAGCAAACATTTAATGGCTTCTCCTCAAGACATGAAAACACCCGAGATTTGGAGCCATACGCGGATTAAATGATATTCGTGCTCTCGAAAATACACTTTCCGGTGAATTTTTGGATAATTCCGAATGATTTGTTGAGATCCGATCACTGTACGACTTTATCAGGGCGCATTTCCGGCGGACAGGCGGTAAAATTTGTTCCCGCCTCATCATCGCTGTTACTATCTTAACAACGGAAGTCTGTATAAACGCTGCCTGCTTGCCGGCCGCCTAGTTCGTCTAAGAGTCGAGACAGTTGCTGATAGAAGCGAACTGGCGAGTTTCACGTAGCAGTTCAGAAGACAAAGATGCGATCACCGCTCGAGTCATGGTTCTCAGGCCCGCAATCCATCAACAGGCGCAATGACCTCCCGGTACCATATTTATTGCTGAGATTTACCCTGGGCAGGGGATTCAGTCACGTGGGGAGGGCGCGAGCGAGCAATTATCCCAGTGACAGTGTGCCAATTTGCCGAGCCATCGTCACACCAGCATCCAGCACAGATGACGAAATCACGGCGACTAACGACTCGGACTGACAAGCCACCACCACCACATCAACTACGACCCCAGCGGCGATTGCGAGAGCTGTTAATTACAGTGCGCATATGGTCCCACGGCAGCCACGTGCTATAAATACTGCGCTTCTTGTGCCACCATCACCTTTATCTGCAACTGTCTCTGATGATGGATTCGAGTGAGAACTCGAAACGTCAAGCCAATAAATTTCTTGTTCGAGTGATCGCATCTTCATCTTATAGACGAAACAGTTTCCAGCAAAATCCAGCTGCGACATATACTGACTCCGGGGTCCGACAGATAAGCAATCAAGGACGACTGGAAGTAGTGCCACTCAGATTCGAAGGGAACAACATTTGGTAAACTGAACAGCTGCGTAAACCGGCGAGACCAAAACCCTGCCAACCATTTCCTTGGGTTAGATGCAGTAAGTTGGAATCATCTCTCATGGTGTTGTTAAGTACACAAAATAGGCAGTCTACGCGATCCTAGCAGTCACTTGCTCTCATTATGAGATTTTGACGCTGGTTAGCAGTGCCAAACTACGCGGGACTCACTACGCACTCGGGGATAAGGACCCCGACAACATACTCCTGCTCAGGGCGTCGCGATACGACGACGACCTTGCCAGAGTTCCGGCGTGCATCCCCCATCTTGGCGCCGTTCACCCATATGACGATCAGCTGCATGAGCTCAACGGTTTGTAACAGATACGTACTGCTAGCAACGGACGACAAATCCTGCCTGTGCGCTCTAGCTCAACAAAGGCTCTCCAGTGACACTTGCCTCCCGGACTTTGGCATGTGAACACACCACTGCAGCAGTTAGCAAATGACACCAGTCACTACAATCCATTCTTTCTATGAGAGAACAATCACCTGTCGCATCCACTGGGAAGTTAATGAAAGTAAACGTCTCCGGGGCCTCAAACAGTTCGGGGACGCTTGTGAGGGGAGATTTTTGCGGACAAGGCATTTACGCACACTCAACAACACCAACAGTGCGCGTTAAGAAAAAGGAAAATGCGGCCAAAACAGCTCAGCTCACCGGGGTTCAGCACTAGAACCTACTTCCGATGTATGCAACCCATCGGAGAACGATGCTTCTGTACGGCATGGAGATTGACAATATCATTCACAGTGCCACCGATGAAGACAGCCTGTGGGGCAAGTCAAACCAACTGGCAGAATGTCCCAGTCGTCGGCTTATGCGCCTCGACACCATTAAGCGTACCGTAAATCTTCCAGGCTACCCAACTAAACATGTGGATTGAAGACCCCATTCTCCCACCAGGACAGCCTCGTAAGAGGCTGAGTCCCAAAAAAATCTGGTCGCGCTAATGTTTACCTAGATAAAGCCAGTCACTCGTTGTGTGAAAGTGGTAAAATAGCAACACCCACACCGCACGCTATCAAAGCAGCCTTTCCGGTGTCTGATGACTCTTCTAAGACCTTGTGGACATTTAGGACAGCATTTAGAGTACGCGTCTCAGGCTTGGAGGTCTGGGGCAATTAATGATCAAGTGTCCTGTGGGAGTTTAAAGAGCAGCTACCAACATGGTAGAGTCAGATCTCGTTATACTTCTGCAAGCAGACCTAATAAGACACACCATCTTTCCTCTGAGTCGGAGACAAAGGCGCGGATACTCAGCTTACTGGACGTATTAAACGAAGGTACGTCCTTCGGTAATTTCTCTGCATCTTCCACAACCAATTTCAGCCCGTACTCAAAAGAAAAGGCTAGTTGTGACAACGTCCTCCCTGTGTAACATTTTGCCAAACATATGGAATGTCCTCTCGGGAGATGTCTAAAGACAGCGTGACAGATTTCCAAGCAGAAACCGCAGTGTTCCTAAACCAGACTAGTTGGCTCTTTTAAGGGCATTTTGTTTTTCCGCAGACAATCCGATGTTATACATTGATAGTAGTGAAATTGCGATTCCCAGATGGTAAATCAAAAGAAAATGAGGCGTTCACAGGAAGAGATGTATTGGAGGTCTGACGTTCCGAGTATCTGTTTCGTCCACTCATCTTCAGAGACTGGGAAGTCATGCGTACAGCTCTCCTTATATGGCGCACTTTGTTTGATGCGTGGCCCGCCAGTGGCGCCTCCCTACCCCCCCCCCCCCCTATCTGACTTCACGAACCTTTTTAAGGGGGGACAGTCACGGCGCGAGACAATCAGGGCCGTCAACTATCTCCGCGGCCGTTGAGGGCGGGAGCGATTCACGTCACGGTGAATTGCGGGTCGGATGCAGCCACACAGGCGCCATTGGTAAGCCACGCATCAAACAAAGTGCGCCATGTAAGAACTGTGCGAATGACTTCCCAGTCTCTGAAGATGGGTAGACGAAACAAATACTCGAGACGTCAGACCTCCAATACAACTCTCCCAGTGAACGCCTCATTTCCTTCCGATGTTATACGTCACAGACAGGAAGCTCAGGGACACACACCAAGGGCTCTCAAGGCAAACTTCAGTCATTTGGTCGAATCTGACAAAAACAAACCACAAGCGAAGAAGGGCGGAAAGGTCTACTCCAAGAAGTATCACAGAAGAGCCACTGGATAGGACAAAAGACACAAATTCAAAGCCGAAAAATACAGAAATTAATTTCAAATAAACAAAAGTAGAAAAAGTCGCTAGTAGAGTATATCGGAAGATGTAGGGAGAAGAGCTCAATTCCGGGAGACTGGGAGCAATGGAGGCGCAGGACAAAGAGGAAAGCCATAGAGGATAGTCGCCGAAAGAACAGCGACTGAACCGAGCACAAAGTACCTAGAGGCGGGCAAAGTAAAATGCGTTTGGGAATCACTTCAACCAATGCGAAAAACATGTGGCTGGACAAAAAGTGGGAACAGCACTAACGCAGCAAGAATGAAGATGTGGAGCGAAAAAGCTTTAGAAAAAGCACGGCGTCTGCCTACCGTTACATGGGTGGCAAAATAGAAGAATCGCACAGGACTAAAATATCTTTTGTGATTGCCTCCAAACAAGGTAATGAGCATCAAATGTGTTCAAGGATGTACATCTAATGCACAAAACGCCAAAAGCAGACCATTACTCCCCTTCATAGGTTAAAGACGCGCACCTACTGCTTCAGCGAGGGCGGGCCAAAAATGACACAATAACATGCGGAAGTTCCAGTAGTCCTTCTAATTTATACTATGTGCCAACTTATGTTCTCATTGACCATACCTTCTCATCTCCCGTTGTCCAGCTTCGCATTTTGAAGATCGTCCGACTCTGAAGCTAACCGAATGAGCGGTAAGGCATAACGCTAATAACAACCGGAATGATGCCGCAACCCTTCACCCGACAATGCCTGCCAAGCGCTCAATGACCTCCGGAATATTCCTCATGCAAGACAACGCGCCAAAGACTTCCAACTTCGGATTTCCACATCTTCGGTAGAAACACCTCCCTGAAAGGGGAGAAACACTCCCCTGTTGTCTGCGCTGCCTTCGTTCCATATTACCTGTGCCACGATGTCTGTGATGCAATGGGAGACGGTGTGTACGCAGCCCCACTTGCAGCCAGCGGTAGGTCTTTGTCATACCGCAGTAGGGGAGCATCCGCTGGGGATTTCCTGAGGGGATGTCAGGTTCATCGGCACCAGTGGGAGCTTGTGCATTTACCAGTCACCTGACATATGTTGATCCGACAACGCACAAACTCCAGAAACCAACTTTTCGTCCACTGGAATGTTTGGCATTGGCTACATTGGGCAAGCAGGCAAATAGCCTTCGGTCAGTATATTTTGCTTCGCATGTACTATATGATGCACTTTGGGTAACCCCACAAAACCAATATTTTCAAGGCCTATCAATTCGGTTACAGCGCTCCAGGCATTAACCGAAGTGGAGTCTACCCAAGCCGTAGTCTTATTGACCTGAGAATACAAGTGTACTTTCCGCGAGATCAGGAGTAAGCTGCCACGAGAAGACTTTACACCACAGGATGTTCAGGCCACAGTAGCCGTCATCAGACTGGCAGAGCACTGTCCTGTCACTTGTTGCCAATATGAACTCACCTCACGGAGAAAATATTGCCCCACCGAATGGGGATTAGCCACCGAAATGTCATTACACGTGTGCGGCTTCATGGGAACGGATTTTCCTTCAGTCTCAATGCCCGCATTTTCTTGATCCCAATCGGCGGAAAGTATGAGGCTATAATCATACGGGATCCTCGACCCATTATTCTTCTGGGCCATAGGAATACAGGCACATTATAAACAAAGGCCTCAATGTGCGAGAAGAGGCAGACAATCTTAAACGATGAAGCATATGGATCGTCACGTAGTCAAAAACTGCGGCCAGAACGAGATCCCCGCCTCCGATCGCCTGAACGGGACAGAATCTTTGTTCACTCGCTCAGAGGAACACAAGGCGAGATCGCCCACATTCGAAATATTGGCAACTTCCAATGCATGCGGTGGTGCGAAGACGAGACTGCGAGGCAGTGTCCTTGTTGATGGCGACCTGTAATGCAAAACGATGGCAAGACCGCCGATAATTTGTCTTTGAGGCGAAATTTTTCTGTCCAACAACGGAGAGGCCTGCAGTGACAAGACTCTGGTCTATGGGGTGCAGGTACTACAGCCAAAAGTTCCGCATGCTCAGTCCTGTGGGATGGCTGGCCTGCGGAATGAGAGTCCAGCTGCAATGGCTGCTGCATATTGGGGTCTTCGTGGCACTCTCACGCCCGTACGATGCGGGCTGGCACATCTTTTTTAAAAGCTGAGACATCGCGCGAGGCTAGATCGTGGTTCATGCGCGTAGACGGGGTGTTTAGCCTTGCCGGCCACTGCCTCCGGTCGCTCCAACTCTGTCTTGCCACGGAACCCAGGTGGGCGAGGTGGTACCGGAGATGCTCCGCAAGTCACCGCTCTGTGGCCATCATGCTGTGGAGCAGACAATGAGCATTGTCAGTAACGACGGCCCAACTGTTACAGTCAAACGAAGAAGTCCTCCCTTGCCCGCACACATAAACAGAGGCTAACAGTTGGAAAACTAAATCGCCTGGCCTATGTTGTCATGGAAAATAATGAGCATTTTCGGTAACTGCGCTTTAAAGAAGTGTCGAGGACTTCGAGGACCTCGTGTGCTCGGATAGACTATGCACTCTTTATCAACCTAGAAGTAGTGCGCGAAATCCTCAGAGCAAAGTGCCCAAATAATCACTACCGTAGGCATGTGGTCACCAAGTGCTAGCAAGTACTAACCTTTTACTGGGTGGTGTTACAAGTTAACTGGTTCTGCGTGTTTACCATACTTCTTACAGCAGGTTATGGAACAATTCCCCATATTCTAATAAATAACATGTTCTGTTTTGCAATAAGCTATGCAGCTCGGACCATTTAGACAGAATACAATCCATCGGGAAAAGGTAAAAGATGCGAACTGAATGAAGACATCAGCCGGCCGTCCTTGTGACACTGGAAAGCGGCGGATGACAGCGAAGGGAGCATTTAACGAGAAGCATCCGAGACACATGGGCCCTGATATTTGAAACGCATGCACCACCCACTGCGTTTTAGTCTCCCTTCTTCTGAACTGTCAGCATTTTTTCGGAAACTTCCAATTACCTACGCACGTCCTCCAACAGATTAAGCCGAATGGAGCACATGACGTCATTTGGTCAACAGTTTCAAGGGTAGTGTTCCAACAAAGGCTTGAACTATCTACAGTTGCACACAGAAACAACAGCACAAACATACGTAAAACTTACCAGTTTGGAACAAAGTCGCCAAGCAGGTAGTAGGAGGCCACACACGACAGGATAATTGAGATTGAGGTGGCGAAAACCTTCAGAATATTGTCTGCGTACTTGATAACTACGGCTATACAGAGACCGCCGAAAGACTGTAGGCCAATCACAAGGATTACGTTGAAATTGTAGCCTTGGAAGAATCCGTATTGGGCCACCGCCTGGTGGTCTGTCAGGTAGACACCAATGAGGGCTAGGACGGAACCCCAGAAACCTGACGTCAACGGTAAACACAGCATACATCAGTTAAAGAAAGAAGAAATGATCTATTGGCAGGTAAGCGTATTACCGTGTCAGAACTCGGCGTAATCTGTACTAATTTGAATAAGAAGTAGAATATGCCCAGATCATAGCATGTTTTGTGAAATGCGAAAACATAGGATCAGCTGGAAAGGTCGCAGTGCGAAACAGTGGGAAAACAGCATCGATAATGCGCGCCCGCCTTAGCTCAGAGACTGGACGCCCGGTGCGAAACCGAGAGGCCGAAGACGACACGATCTCGCGCTCGCAGTACATCTTGTTAGCCTCCTCATTTTCCATTGTCTGCTAATGAGTAGGAGATACCTGTTACTGGGGGGCCAAACAAACAGTTCGATTGCTCGCGCGCAGAAACAATCATCTTAACGCAACTAGCTTTTGCTGCCAATTCTAACATGCCGTGGCAACATCGCAAAGCAGATGAAAACTAACTATTCTGTTCAGTGTGGGGTGATCAGGCACAGAGAGTCCAGGAGCAAAAAAACTCAAGTTCACCGTCGGGAAGGAGAGATAGAGAGGTGGATTGCAGGTAAGGTCGTTTTAACTATTTACTGCGTGTAGCCTTTCTGCCAAGAGGTTAATTCGCAGTGAAACAGAGAATCTGTGACCGCAGTGACGGATGTCCTCAAAAATATATGCGACAAGCTGTAAAGCAATAGCGCTCAGGCGTATTACTAATGAGGTAGTGACAAATTTCGACAACTTAAAGTGATTCACCCATTCAGTAGGTTTGCAGCGCGGAAGATATGCCTTGAAATGCCTTAAACATGCGAATTTCTTGAAAGTGACGCTCAATTTGGCTTTGTAACACGATTTTGCGAAAGGTAAAATTAAACTTCAATTCGCATTCGCGGCGTTTTTTGTGTGGCATAAGAGCTCGGAATTAGAGTATGTAACAACTAGTACATTTGTAGGCATACTTTGAATATGGCTTAGTGGTATTTTGACAACAAACCAGGTATTGTAACGAAAAGGTATAGGAAGGGCCTGAATTAGGCAAAAAGCGTACCTCCCCCCCGGCGTTTTTTCAAAGCGCAGAATATTCCAGTGACCGAGTAATGTCAAGGAAACGGGCTGTGAGTCAGACACAATGGCTTGCGAGGTCAAATTCACTTTTAGGCGCGCAAAGAAACATGCTGATCTCCATTCAAATAAACCCAGACGAAGGAAAGGGATTTCAGATCTTTTATTGGAAAGGGCCACTACAGATTCACTTCACAGTCCGGAGGGTCGAATTATCCCTTGTTTAAGCCTCCCCCAAGCCATGGCTGTTAGTGTGCCGCGGTAGTCCGAGACACGTGAGGTGGTTTATAATGAAAAAAATCTTTGTGAGAGTTCGGCGTGAAGCAATGACTCTTCACGATCAGACCAGAGTGTGCGAATCCATCGCACAGAGACTGGCGAACCAGTACCTGGAGCACCAACATACACTCGCCGAATCCACCTCAACTGGCCTTACTGCACCCACACATTCGTCCACCGCACGGACCTACTGGGACACATGCGAATTCACGAAAGCCAGTGGTAGACAACCGCCGACTACACATTACCTCATCTTCCCCCCCCCCCCCTACATCACGCAACACCATCATCCACCACAAGCATCCAATTGCCACCTTCCACGCAAGTGGGAAGTGTGCGTCTCGGCTCCATCCCCTTGCGGCGCCGCCGCTGCATGTTTGATTCAAGTCTGCGACTATCACCGTGCGTCAAGTGTCGCGGTTTGGAAGGCTGCTGACTGATGCCCCAACTCAGCTCACGCAGTCTGCCCAGTTGTGTGTGTTTGTGTGGAGTGGCGGACTGGTGGGCTGAGAGCCAGGCTGAAACAGCTCCTTCGGAACGTGACCTACGGCACTCTCACGCATGTGAGATGTACGCCGCCCAACCCCCGTTGTCTGAAATCATGGTGTTTGTGTTTAGGGGGCCAGGTCGTGCAGGTGGTGCGCGCAGGCAAGGTGACTAGATATGTCAGCTAACGCGCCCATCCCCCGCACCTGTCAAATAGTCGGCTCGGACAGTGACTGGGGCCTGGGAATGGGATGGGAGAGTGTGGTAGACGACTCAGCGCATTTTCCTCACTACAAACAATCTGACGCGTCTGAAGCTATCACGGTGCGCCAAAAGCCATGGCATGGAAGGTTTCCAACTGACGGGATAACTTGAACCTCTCAGTCGGTCCAGTGCTGTGTGTTTGTGTGGAGCGGCTGGCTGGTGCTCTAAGAGTCAGGCTGCAGTGGCTCCTTCTTGATGTGGCGTTTCTAGCACTCCCATTCTGCGGGATAGGGGCCAAGTGTGACGGTACGCCTAGGTGTGACCGGGTTAAAATCCTGGTCATTTGCTGTGTGGACCAGGGGGTGAGGAGTGGAGCGCCAAGGTGCGGTCTCGACCGTGCAATCCACCTGCGTCCTCCACCGCCTCTGGTCCTCTTAACTCTGTTTTGACAGCAGGTCCAGGTTGGGGAAGAGGAGAGTGTGCGGTAGATGCCGCAAAAGTCCACATTAACTATAAACTAAATGACGCGTAAGTCACCGTGCCTGCTTCACCTTGCTGGGGAGCACACGGTGGACATCGTCGGAGGCGACGGTCATGTCATGACACTGCGATGGCCGGGGGTTCGCAGTGTGCGTCAACTACTTGCCTATCCAATTAGGCTTAATCCGTGACAACTAACAAAATGAAAACAACTTGCCAGAGCATATTCACAAAACATAAACACAAAATAAGATATTGGCACACAACAGTACCAAACACCAAAATGGTTACTGCGTGTTTCGATAATGATATTCTGCCAATCCTAGATTACTGGTTAGAAATGGCATTCTATGAAAAGTTAGATAAAAAGTCAGCAGTGTTAACAAAAGAGACGAAAAGCAAAAAGGGTAAAGGAAATGTACTCTGAGAAGTTCTCACCCAACTGAATGTTTCGGACCCATAGGGAGGGGGCAGTATCTTTCATCAACTTTTCAAAATAGACGCCCGCAAAACCACTCGACAGACTGGCTGTGATCACCGCAATTAGGCCCAATATGGGATTCTGAGCCTCCTTCGATACCGACGCAGAACCATTTCCCGAGGTCGGCGCCAGCTGGGGGTTGAAAAAAGAGTGTCAGGCGTGTAGGCGGTGTCTAACCTAATAACCTACTGAAGCATGCAGGCGACTAATCAAAGTGCTAATAAACGTTGGCAAACGGCAAAATGTGTGTTCGTATAAAAAAGTACGGTTTGAGAGATAAAAGGAATCTCGGATCAGAGCTTACGGCAAGAAATAGATGGATGCAGTAGTGCAAACAGAAGCCCGGGAAATGATGGGCAACACAAATGAATTGGCTTCTGGGGAGTTGGCTAAAAAATCTGGAGCCCAAAAAGGAAGCAATGCCTCATACGGACAGCACTAAACAATTCACGGGAAATGCTTGCGCAAACACGAAGAGTAGTAATAAATTAGCGCCAAGCACTGGCGCCCGAATATGCATGCCCTTTTTACGTCAGCGGTTCAGGTTGAATATATTAGAAAAACCGGCAACTTATGAATTCCACACCAACTAACCTTCATGAACAGGTTTAACTCAGGAGCTTGCTAGCTTCAAGCCTACTGAGTGCAGACCGACTAACAGTGTCGCAAGCTGGTTAGAACACAAGTCTGCACAGATTTTAATTGAATATCTGCATTTGCGAAAAAAAACCTCGTAGGGGTCACCTTTTTAATTTCCTCAAAAATTAATACGTGAATCCTTCGAAATAGACTTTTGTTAGACTCGGTGCAAAATTTGATATGAATATTTGAGCAGAAGTCAAAAAGGGCGGCACCTAAACCGGAGTTCATAAATCACAAAGCACACTGAAAGCATTGGTGAGCCGAACCCCTCGCAGTTGCGTCGCTCTGAGGTCCAAAATTGGCGAAACATGTGTGTCTGGGTGTTTAGCTAGCACGCCTACTGTCAGTACGGTTGATCTTCCATTATTATTTTTGCTGACATAAGTTAAATTACACTGTCTAATCGAATTCTCCAAGAGACGGCTCACTCCGCATTTATTATCTTCTACTTGAGAGGTAGCTCTGTTCAAACCGGCGACATTTTGCGAAATCATGTCGTACATCGGCTAATCAATCATTTGTCATGACTTGCGTGGGTCGACCTTCTAGGAGACCGAAATACAGAAACCAATATGTAGCTTCTCGTCTCAAACAGCAAACATTTCTAATGTTAGTACCAGTATTCTCCGATTCTTCCAGCTCACGGGCAAGGATGCTAGGGACAATTTTAATTATCTCAGGACAAAAGCGTTCGCTCTCCTCTCTCTAAATCTGACCTTACCACAGCGGCTGAGGTTTCTATTTCGAATTATGTTCTGAAAAGTATGGTTGTGTGGGAGTTCACCTTCAGGTCGGCGTACTGCGCAACCGAACCATCCGGAACGACCATTGACCAAAGCACAGATAGGATGCGTCACTGGCAGATCTAGGAGTTCGGTGTTCGAGACATGGTTCGTCGGTCAAATTTGGGCATTGTGCATAGGCAGATGTTATAAAAATCTGGCAGTTAGCAGTGGCCAACTGAATCAGCGGCTCTATGCATTGGTTGCAAAAGAAAGACAGTAAACACCTGTCTACGAAGAAACTGCGTCTTCCTTGAACGATCGCCGTGGAGCATGTCACTTCCGTCCCACATGGTGGGCCTCCTGTCTGGGTTGTTGGTTCGCCTCTCGAGTAACTGAGGCCTGCAAACCTGCCTACGAGTGGCTCTCACAGCGTGCCCTGCCCCACCCATCGTGCTAATATCTGCATCCGGGATGTGGCCTTACCGCAGAGCTCCTAGATGTCCACTGCGCTTCTCTCCACCCCTACACCGTCTTCGAAAACTCCGTGTCAACCTACTCAGTCTGAATTTCAACTTTGTTTGACAGGATACAATGATGCTAACCGCCTGTTACAGACATGCTTGTGTATGTGGGTGGGTGCATGCGTGCGCCCTCTACGGCACTCCAACCCAGTGGGATCCGAGCCGATGTGGTAACACGCTTCGGTGCGGGTTTTTGCCATACCAGTCACCTACACTCTCCCGCCTCCGGCCCTCTTGACTCAGTCATGACATCGGGACCGAGTAGGAGGGGGGTGATGGTGCGGTAGATGCTGCGCGAGTCCACTATAATTATAAACGAATTCACACGCAAGCCACCACCCCCGCTCCCCCCCTGTTGTGCGAGTGTGCGGATGTCTAGTTAAGGGCCAACTGTGTATGCGTGGTAGGCCGCATCATGAAAGCGGTGGCCGGTAGGTGGTGACTGCACCACACGGTCCTTAACTGGCACCAAGCTCTTTTCTGTGGCTCCCCAAAGCTAGGCTCTGCATAACGATCACACACCAGAAACCGCCTTCACCGGTGGGCCAAATCAGATGAGGGTATCCGGCGTTGCGCAACTTTCCCCACACCCGGCAATTCTGTCTCCCTCACCGTCCGGACTACCTTCCACTTCAAAAAAATGCAATCCCATACGCGGCCCAGGCTAACTCTTGCAGCTTTCCCACTAAACCCAGCCGCAAGCCATAGTGGAGTTTGGCAGTCAGCTGGGGCGTCTGAGCAGCATTATTTAGAGACAGCACTGCCTACGCCGTCCATGAAAAGGGCTAGAAAAGGTGACAAACAAATGCTGGGTCCACGTCATCTACAAGTATACAGTGGCCCGTGGATTGAAAACTTGCGGTCGATGCAACCAACCGAACAGCAAAAACCCCCATCCCCGCGTGTACAGCACAGGCAGCTAATGTGGTTTCGTTCACTCTGGAAGTTTGGAATGTACGTCCTCTTTTAGATAATCCAAGGACGGCGCCAGTCACTCGAGAAGTGCACATCGGTGCTCTCAGCGAGACCAATTTCTCCGAACAAGGCCAACTGTAGGAGAGAGTGGGAAGAGTGAGACCGATCCTAGGGACTGTGTCCCTACAGCATTCTGCGCCTATTTCTAACTATAGACAATCTGATGCTTTTTTAAACTACCTCGACGCGTTAAAGGCTGTGGCGCGATAACTCGGTCCTCCCTTCAGGACAGAGTCAGGCCGCAATGGCTCCTTCATAATGTAACCGCCATGATACCCCCACTTGGATAAAGCCCGAGTCGTCGCGCTTTGCCGTTTGTCTAAAAACCTGGTCATCGTGCGTGGACCAGGCGTGTGAGGTATGCGTAGAAGAGTCGTCTAGTTCTATCAGCAACTGCGTCCGACCTCGCCGCTGGTCTTATAGACTCGTAGTAGTAGTAGTAGCAGTTGTAGTAGTAGTGGTGTTGGTGGTGATAGTAGTAGCAGTAGTAGTGGTAGTAGTAGTAGTAGTAGTAGTAGTAGTAGTAGTAGTAGTAGTAATGGGCGTCAAGGAATGTAAGCATCTGCCATGTCATGATCAGCAAACCACGATCCTCGCAGCCTGGTGTGCGCTGGCAGTTCTCTGGCCCTGGCTCCCTGCCGGTAGATGCGTTTGCGCTCCCGCCGGGTATACAGGTCGTGAGAATGATTGCTTAGTCACCCTCCTTCTGAACCGTCGTTGTGTTGGTATTGCTTAAAATCCTGATAAAGTGTTTGTTGTGAACCAGGGTTGTGGTGGCACGCCTACGTGCGGGTCCGGCCGCGCCAGCCACCTGTGCCCTCTCCCGCCTCCGGTCTTCTTGATTGGGTGGGAGGGAGTGAGGTTGATGTTGCGCAGGTCTACTCTCGTTGACAACTAGTTCATGTGCACGTCACCATGCCTGCCTCACCACGTTGTGGAGCAGGCGGTGGATATCGTGGGTTGTGATGGTCAAACTGTCAGCAGCAGTAGTAGCATTAGTAGTAGTAGTAGTAGTAGCAGTAGTAGTATTAGTGGTGACAGTAGCAGTGGTAGTATTAATAGTAGTAGTAGTAATAGTAGTAGTAGTAGTAGTAGTAGTAGTAGTAGTAGTAGCAGCAGTAGCAGTATTAGTGAGCAGTAGTAGTAACATACTGTAGCCTTTTTATCAGCGTCTCAAGTGCAAAGACCGGGTACTGACGAGTTCTTGGAAAACGTCTGAGGGGCTCCTTTGTTCATTTGACCATTGCCAGTAAACGCCGCCACAAGTGTGGAAATTTGCTGTTACCGACAATCGATGTACCAACAACTGTTTTCGTCGAGCTCTTGACCGCTCACTTTATTAGGTGCCAGCTTCTGGAATAGAATCACAAAATCGTCCGAGTCGCCTAAAACTAGGTTAACAAACAAATCCTACCCCAACAGGATCACTTTCTTTGTGAAATGGGATATTAGATCGCGGCAGAACAGCCCAGGTTTCGTTAAAGATTTGGACAAATGCCCACAGTCAACAATACTAAAGTGTACGTTAATTGCGCTCAAAAGAGCTCTCAGGAAGGCTCCTTTTGTCAGCGCATTACGAAGTGAGACAGCAGCAGGCAAGACTTTCAAAAAGAAAGATTTTGAGTGAATTATGCAAAAAGGATGAAGAGCATAAGTTCCGACTGACTTACTTAAAAAGTAGCTGGGAAATGCTCACCTGAACGAATGCTACTCCAAAGAGGAGAATACCTAGAGACACCCATTGTTGAACAGAGATACGCTTGTTCAGCATAACAACCATAAATATAGCGGTTGTGAAGATTTTGAGTTGGTAGGTTATTTGATAAGTTGCCGCATCGAGATTTGATAAAGCCACATAGAGGAGATTATTTTGCAGCGTATAGAGGCCCGAGGGAATCGCCAATTTCAGCAGCTCAAATGGTTCATCCACAACTTTTGTCTTAATCTCAGAAAGCGTTTCGGTAAGTGAGAAACCTGAAGTAGGGGGTTAGAGATTGACTTAAGCACGGTCGAAGAGATGGCTGTGCAGGCTTGTCAGGTTACCAGAAAAGTTTTGCCAGTAATACTTGTTTTTGGATCCAATATTATAAGGTCAGAACTCATCTCCGGGAATCACATCCAAATACCCTGAACTGTCTCAGTGGATAATTAGATCCTAATATTCCTAACGTTATGACAGACGCAAACTCCATCTGTCCGCTTATGTCATGAGGATGTTCACATGTACTTGATACGGCATAGATCAGGTCTGGTGTATCCGGCGGCTGGGATGTCAAGGATAGTATCCTGCGACGAAAACCCACCATGGAAGGTTTAAGAGACGCATCTATATATCGGTAGATTGTCTCGGACCAGGTTAAGAGCTGACCTCCTTGTCGTCGCTAGTGAAACAGTGGCACCGAATCCAAAACAGCAACAGAATGCATCAGTTTAGAGCTGTTAAGGATGTCTCGCAACCAGTCGCATATGCCGACTCGTTATAGAGGACCCATAGTAGGTAACCTTACTCGTGAAACACTATGACCGAGATCTAGATGCTTGATCTGGGCTACTTTGTACTGTGTGCATTTTGCTTATTGGCTAAATGCATTACATAGAAAGTCTACTTTTCACGTAGGATATGTTTTTGGACCTTTTTTTACAACTAACAGTGCATTTCAGAGGTGTTTTGGCAGATTTCAAATAATTCACTTTGACCCAACTGTGAAAAACTCGGTGCCTCGGTGGGATTCGGACCCACAACAGCAGAGGGAGGCTTTAGTACAACCAACGCTCTAACCATCTGAGCTACGAGGCCCCACCGAGGCACAGTTGAGTCACTGTTGTGGGTGCATCCGCCTAACTGATGTCCGCTTGCATAAGCGTAGCAGCCAGAACTATGGCAGGTTCAGCAAACTGCAAGGGCGCTCTATTATATTTCTGAAAAACGGGTCAAAGCGTGCTGGGGGGGTAGGAGGTGGGGAGGCCGACTTCAGGATGGGCCGTCAGGGAGGTTTGGTGACCAAAAATAAGTACCGGCTCCCTTCTCAGAAGTCAATGAAATCAAAAGATACTGCGTGACTGGAGTCATGAGATTGGAAGATCGGCTGTGATGAGAGGTTTTTCTGTACGCAAAGTCCAAGCAGTTTCGGAAGTTCCCTGTTAACTTTAAGTCAAACTGAAAAGAACATCCAAGTGGGCTGCGCACTGTTGACTATCCCTACCACACAAATCCAAATACTGAACGCACTTTCTGTAATGCCACTGTAACTGAAGCTCGAGCGATTCCCTGCTAACCGAGATGCAACTTCTCACTGCGAACCACCAGGGCTCAGGACAAGGGTAGGAATCCAGCAGCAGTATTTGAGATCTGCTTGAACTTTTCGCCCGATGACTGCATAGGAAATTTTCATAAGAGGATTAAATTACCTCTTAGCCGTCCTTGTAATTACACATGCCAGACTGACCGCGGGAGAAATTATCCAAAATAATATCATACTCTCGAGGTGCGTCACACATTCTAGTTAGCAGATACGGGGGACAATCTCCTGGATCGAGAAAAGGGCGTTAGATGACTAAATTTTATTACTCGGATGAGAAATCAGTGAACGAGCATCACCGCCTCTACATCCAGAGACAGTACTTACTACTTGTACTTAGTATGGCTATGATCACACCCGATCTAGCTGGCCTCGACGATGTCACGGATTGTAACTCCCTCTATATGACGATTTGCGGCAGCGCCGTTCGCGGGCAACGGTAATCAAAAATCCCCGGTTTACGTTTGACTTCCAAACAAAACGCCCAGTATTCATAACTTCAGAGCAGGAGGAGGAGAACCGGCACAGATCTTCTTGATATTTGAGATAACGTGATGAAGGCTTGCAAAAACTCTGCGGGCCCTGTAGTCGCACAATTTTGGGATTGCGGACGTCCATTATTTGTTGAAGGGAGGGTCCGGCTGCTTTGTAGAGGCCGACAGAGAGAAAACTCTGTTCCTGCAGAAAACGACGGTGACGGGTTGGTCGTCGGATTTAAAAAGGCGTTCTCATGCCGGCGTTCGACATCAGTTGGGCTGTCGGCACTACGCCGCTATTCGCATTGCGAACAATCACCAAGTGTAAATGGCCTACCACTAACTTAGCGAATAATTTGGTAAACTTCGACTGCCGTTGGCATTTGGGGTCTAATTCGTAGAAGTCATAACATCGGCAGGCGGTTTTCGCAGTTATCTGCACCCAAAATAGTCGGCATTTCTCAGTTGGTAGAAGGAACTCTTGTTGCGAGTTCTTGTTTGATTGGTCTTAGCGGCCGACTGCAGGACCCTTAAGCTGATAGTCTCTGACGTGCCGATAAGTGAATCCAAAATTCTTTTGGCAACCCCGAAGGCAAAGGACTTTGGCGATGAGCATTTGTTACTGTCTTCTTTGACTCGGACTGCAAAGCGGATTAGGCTGTGTTGAGCTGTCGCAATGTTGCGGCATCAAGGCGTCTTGCATGACACTTTTTGGGTATGGAATAGAGATTAACTTTCGTACACGTGTAAACGAGAGCATGGTCTGGCCTATAGGAGTTGCAAGTTTCGTAACAACTCGGCGATCTGCTATACGAACCTAAGTAAAAAGTTCGAATCAACCATCGACTGGAATGTTATTAATGTAAACGGTCCTACTGCCGTCGTTAGAATTTCAGGTTGGTAGATGTTTGCGGTGTTCGTGACGAACAACCGATTCTAGTCAGTGAAGCCAAATATCCTTTTATCACTGTTGCACCGGAATATGAGCCTGAAGAGGACAATCGGACAGTTATTGTAAGGCTTGTGTCGTCCAGCCCGACAAGCCCGGTTCCTGGCAACTAAAGAAAAGCTGCCGAGGGAGTCTTCAACCTATACCTTCAGTTACGTGTAGAGTTTCCTTATCGCACTGATTGACAGTTAAGGTTGGCACTCAGACAGGAAGGAGAGATGTTCGCAAAGTGCCCATATAGTCGTGTGTGGGCTAAACGACCATTGGCAGGTTATCACGCAAGCGCGATCGCCACACCGTCTTTGTCAGAGAAGTCGCGTGGGTCGCTGTGGCAGAAGTGAAGTGCAAATGAACCACCCGAATTTTAATCTCCCCAGACTGGGCTTGGAATTCGGCTTTCAGACAGGCAGTAGACATCTGTGTACCGGTACAGGCGACGCGCAGTCGGATTTCAGATACTAGGGTTAAAGAGTGTTTGCCAATTCCAACATCCAACACCAGCTGACCGTTCCAGACTGAATACTCCGCAACACTCGACGATAGTTGCAAAGCGTGTCCACTGGCATGGACAATGCAGCGGGAAGCGTGGTACAAAACTGAGCATTTTTGGAGGGTTCTTGGGAGTTCCCAGTGAAGGCAGGTCGAATTGCTTGATCGAGTTTCTTCCCTTTAGTGTTTTGACACTAGAACCAAACCGCAAGACAACAGGGGGAAGCAAACCTACTTGGTGACGACTCACGGCTACCATGTCACAGTGTCGTTACCGCGTTTTAATGTACTTTAAGCCAGTGCCCAAGATCTTAATCTTGTGAGCCTTGACAACGCCGTTGTAATTCGTTTACGACTGTTTATTTGAAAAGCAAATGAGTCCGTTAATTTCCCAGCTATCTTAAACTGAAGACCAGTGCACTATTCGTCGGCCACAGATGCGCCAAATAGCCGTCAATCGTGGTAATGAGAAGACACGTCTTCGTGGCCGCAGTACTTGACTAAATAAAAAGTCCTTGACCATAGCAAAAACTGTCGCCTAATTAGGTACACATACTATGTTAAAAACTACATCCAAAAGTGCACCTTGCTGACTTTAGAACCGTTTTTAATTTGACGGACAGGTATCTGTCATAGAAAACTCTACTTGCCAGATGTATACTATCCAAGTATACTAAATCAATTATGTAATGTTATGGAACAAACCAAGCTCAAGCTCATTCCCAAACGTGCTGACAGAAGATGAAATTGGACTCCGAACCAGGGCTGTGAGAAGAATGTTTGCAGATCGTGAAACCACACTGGAACCAGTTCTAATGCAAAGTCCCTGTAAAGCATGAGGTACATGTGTGTAACCAGACCACTCAAGTAAGATAGTGGGAGTGAACTGAATGTTTCCGCGTATTCACGCGGGCTATTCATCTATGGCGTCTATGGAACTGCAACTCTTATTTGCGGTCCTTCTCGGTAGATTACTGGAAAAATCGACATTAGCCGTCATACATGCATCATCTCTAGTTGATCGGAAACTCCGGCAAAACGGACAGCTTCAAGGGTTGGTAGGCACTTTACGGAAGGACAATGGGTCATTGGTCGAGCAGCCCATCTGCAAACTTCAGTGACAGTGAGGCATATAACTCGGTACTGATATCGGATCCTCGGGCGACTGACAATAGAGACGCTGGGTTGCTGGAGACTGTAAATTTAGTGGGAAGGAAGGAGACGCGGTCACTGGAGCAGGAATTTTACTCGTTCAAAGTTTCGCATGAACACTCGAACTCATGATTGGAGGCGGTCCCAAATAAGGGTATTAGATTGACAAGGGTTGCAGTATTAATAAGATGCACTGCTGTGCCAGTGAATACATACAAAAACCAGCGGCCTCTGCATTCGCTGTAGATGGTTGCACATAGCAAGACAATCCTGGTAGGATAGCATCTGCATCCTACAAATACCGCAACCTCCCTGCATCCATTACTCTTATCTGATGTCGCATGATATCCTGATTGCAGCAGTCGCGTCACATTCTTGACTGCTTCACTGAACCAGAATCTAGGCTTGCATAATCAAAGTAGATGCAGGTCCGGCCTTAAAAAGTGGCAACCCTCACAAAAACAAAAGTGACATCATATTAAAAAAACAGACGAGGTATTATTCTAAGCATTAGTAGTAGTCGCAACACAAACATAAGGCCGATGGCGGACTAAATCGTCAACTCACCACTTCCTACGTAAATGGCGATGACGCAGGCCACCAATTTCGTAACCTCAGAGCAGAAGACGGCTGTTGAAGTCAAATACAATCGGTCGTTATCCCTGTGTAGACGTGTATAGCGCATCAGCAAAACAAGCGCCGTTGTCTGGAAGGTCAGGATAATCAAACTCGCCCCCTTCACGATCTTCTGGCCCTGTGATGACGGATATCTAGCCTTTTCTGGCGACTTCGGCATCTTACTATTTTCTAAGGAAGGCGTCTATTGTGCAGTCCAGATCCAAAAAGGCGCTGCAAGTAAGGATACAATCAAGGTGATCAGCGACAATTCGAGGTCTATTACGAAAACAACCATCAAAAAGGCCGCCCAAGTAGGGAAACCGCCTGAAGGCCACATTTGTCATCGTATTTTCCCTATTGTGGGCAGTTCATGACTGACGGTATATATGTGAGAGGTGAATGTGGTGATTTCGACTTTTAGATCAAAAATCTCCGCGAGTCTTATGGAACGAATATCCTGATTACTAATTAACGCATCTACGAATCTATGGACAATTATAAATCGCAGTCAATTTTCCTATCAGAAGTCAGTTTCTGTATCTATACTCTGTCTCATGATCTATCCGCTGGCCTGCAGTATCGTCAAAAGTGAGACGTTCTCAAGCCAGCCTACACTAGACCTGTTTGGCGAGGGTGAGCTAAAGTCAGATAAAAGCAAGAGTAGGCCGACTTTCATGGCTGGATTTAACAAATGTCCAGATTACCTAATCCCGAAAATCGAAGGTCAGACTGCAATGGCTCTTTCCCAATAAAAGTTTCGATAACAAGGATTGCCAAGGCGAATGCGGGTTTGAGATCTAGGCGGTTTTACTATACGAACTAGCAAGTGCGTGGCACGTGCTTCATCTGCGCAATGTCACCAAGTCAGTCGACCTGTCAACGCCGAAAAAATAAAGTTCCCTGGGGTTTCAAACTTTGTCATAAGCTACCCTCTGAAATTGACGGTCGTATGTTTGCAGGAATTGGTAGAGTCAGACACCTCACGGCGAAATTGCTGATAAAAAGGACATAACGCTATGTGAAAAAATTCTGGGTTTTCAAAAGTCTTTGATGGGGCAAATGAATCCGCCTCGACTTCTTAATCAACGTGCGGGTTCGAGTGTACAGGACATTTGTTTGGTCAGCCCTCTTCTGCTGTAAAACGTAACCTATTCATTTGTTTGACGAATGAAGAGAGGGCCCTGTAGACCACTGTTGCTGGAAAAATGTCGTGCATGGATTCCGTACTCAATAAGACAGTGCACAATGCCGCGAAAATGCCACAAAAACATCCCAGTTCATCAAATAAAAAGGGGCGTTGGTGCACAATTCGTCCAAAACCCGGGTCAACAATGTTCGTCACAATCGCGAGGGGTTGTGATCCTAGTGCCCGAGCCACGGAGACTGACGGCTTATAAATAACGGACGCCCACTTAGTAGCGGTGGCGACTGCGGAGTATGTTCGACCGCCAACTGTTGCGTGTTCGCGTTACTCACAGGGAGTCCGTTGAACCTAGCTGGTTTCTCGCCTGTCTAGATCCAGTCGCCTGAGTCGGCGTACTTCGTGCAGTCTGTATGTGGAAACGGTGTAAGTGCAGAATTGCACGGAAACACGGTTCTGTAATTGGCATGATAAGCAAGATTTAAATGTTACAGTTACAACCGAATGTCTCCAGACGTACAATCAGAAAGATGTGGCGTATAGACGGGCGGGTAGTGTCAAAATGCGCGGGATGAAAACGGGAGATTCAAACAAATGGTACGATGGTTGGAGGGAAACAGAAGACCATAATTTTCCGAGTCAAACAAAAAATTTAAATTATGCTGTAAAAGGTATCGCAAAGGGACAAAGTGCGTGGAAATGCACAGCGACTGCAAATCTTCTCCCCGAGTCTTTACTTGATCCCCTCGACGTTGTCGCCAGTTATCGGCGGATCTAAATGAGGTGGCATCTCCGGCAAATAAGCTCGGCGCAAGAACTGGTGTGACAGCCGCGTCGGTGGGTAAGAACGGTGCAGGTGCCCAGATGTGTTCTTGGCTAACTTGTTTTTTGTTAGAAGCGCGATCGGAATGAGCATTTTTGATAGAGGCACAGGCAGGGCAGGGCACGGATATGTCCTGTTCTTACCGGTCAAGCTTCGTACTCACGCAAAAAGATTGTGCTTAAGAAAGCCTTCAATGTTTGCCACTAACTCCTTTGGCTGATAGCACCACGATTTCAGCGACCTCGTCAGATCCAAATGAAAGAAGGTCGCCTACCGACCCCATAATCAAAGACATTTCTCTCTTGTCGCTTGGCATACAGTCTAGCCAAGGATAGCAGGAATGCATTTATTCAAGGCTCACTATTGATTGTTAACGATAGGTATTTACGATTGCAAAATCCCATATTTTACTTGTTTAAAAATAATTTATTCTTGGACTCCGTTCAAATGTCTTCCATCAACTTCGGACAGAGCATACCACGTGTCAGCAAAGCAGCCCGACTTCACCATAGAACCTAGTGGTTGACAGCGGCTACTGCAGAACCGCGGTGGACATCTAACGGGTACCAGTGAAGATCGTTGATCAGGTGACTGAGTAATATCTGGAGAAAACGCAGCCCTGAAGGAGGCCGAAATGGACGTGGAGAGACTGTTATGCTTCTCATTCATTAGGACCCCGGCAAGTAGATTTCACAAGTCATTCATCAGCGTGCACAAGGATCTTCAAAAGACTGCTTTTGTAGTCTACACGGCCCTTGTCACACTTACCCAGGCAACTTGATGGCAATTTGATGGAGGCGCACTCCGTTGTAACATCGTGCCAACTGCTTTTACAGAAACATCACGATTGGTCCACTGTCTCATCGTCCCACTCAGTAATATACAAATCAAGTTTGCAAAAGACTGGGAATTTCGAAAGAAACAGGGTGGACGTTGGTTCACTTTCGTCGGGAATGCCATTTGGGCTGCCCATAGGCATTCGTTCGAGACGTAATCCAAGTTTAGTAATGTCAGCGAAGTTTCGATTTCTGACCCAACTTCGTACCGGGGACAAAATGCTTCAAACTACAAAATTTTAACATGCTCATGACCATAATTTCGAAAGGATATTTATAAAATACCATTACTTTAGGTATTTCGGGTTTGTTTGATGCTTAATTGACTAGACACCACCGGATAAGCCAAAGAAAGCGCTCCATTTCCGATTTTGGTTTTCAACAGCGACGAGAAAGTTGGTGGACGCCGCCTGGAGGATGTAACCTACCAACAGTAAGTGGTCGGGTATATTTACGGTTGAGGCTTGAGCGGTCAAATGACTAATCTTAAGTAGTTGTGCTGTGTTGCACATGACCATGCGCGTGCTGTTAGCCTTAGCTTATTTAACCTGGACGACAATAGTGGTAATTGAGGTCCCCGCAGAACGAGGACACACACTTTGTTAATAGAAATATGTAGTTCAAATCAAAACACTTCCTGCCTCGTATTTTTGCTGTGGAGCACATGCGTCAGGTATGCGAGGTCCAAGATAAAGTCAGCTGGACAGTCAACGGTAGATGTGCAACGGTGTAAAGGCAAATCGCCGCGGACGAGTAGAAAATACCTAACCAGACCCGAATTGAATTGATTGTGTACTACGTGCGCCTTTCGGAATAATGGCTATGTAGACTTGTATTTGGCTCCCGCGAATCCTAGGCGTTCGACCTATGATTAAAAACTAAGAGGCAGTGAAGTACGCCGACTGCCTGGAATGAGTGTCAAAATTTGCTATGCGAGGATATATCGAGAAGTCCAACAGAGATGACCAAAGGCGGTCTGGGTACATTCTTCGTCATCCGTTCGACGAATTCAGATTTGTTGTCTTCGGTCAGGTGTCGTTGCTTACCTAGGGGCGTCGAGGAGGTCGATACAAAACACAGTTCAACACAGTTTGTCAAGACATGAGGGTTCATCTTGAGCCTCATGTATGAAACGACATAAACGAGGTCGGCTAAATGAAGCATAAACGCGGCGGTACAAAGTACAAATGCAAACAACTATATATCGGAGGCTTTGCAATCAAATGATACAGCGTGAGCAGTAAAAGTAAGAGTATGAGTAATATGCAGTATGCGTAGGACTATGAAAGTGCGCACTCCGAGATATTAGAATAAACAAGACGATGCGCCTGGAAAGTGTTCGTCGGCAAACGGACGCCTGCGAGATGACTTACAAACTGTTTTGTAGTAGCAAGCCGTGCTAAGTAATAGTTATGAAAAAGAGTTTGAAAATAGCGTTCCATTTACTACATAATCTGTGGGGAGGAGTGACATGCGTAAAACACAAAAAGCTAATGTGAGCATATGGGGTAATCAAAGAGGGCCTAAAAGACGACATTGTCGAACAAATCCACCCGCAGGCATCCGGAGAAAAACGCTAGTCGCACAAGCAAAGCACCAATGTCTGTTAAAAGGACGTATCTATTAAAAACAAAAGGAATAGAGGAAATATAGTAAGAGACACTTAATTCAAGGCATTAGTCACAATAGGTCCTGTTATGTGTGTGTATTCGCTAGCTAGGTATGGCCAACACAGCCACACGTGGCAACACTGACATCTTTAACTTAGTAGTCAACACTAGCCCCGGTTTGCGTGTCATGGTGGAGTGAGTGTGGTCAATCTTGCGGTATAGCGCTTTATTGTCTGCAAAGACCGCTCAAGGTAAATTTGCATCTCACTACTTTTCGGCGAGGAGGCACGCAGTGTGAGAAATGCCGACGACTGGGAACCTGGGTTGTTCTGCTCATCACGCACAGGTACGGTTTCGTGGTTATGTTTCGTCCTGAACGACGTGATTGAGAGACAGTTCTTCTTTTGATGCTTTGTGCTGAACAACGTATTACAGTCCACATGTCTACAAAGGCTGTATGATGTGGCCGACATCTAGGACAGCGCACACTCCCCTGCTTCTTCTGAGTACAAAGCTTTTTGCATCAGCGGAGGCAACTGTAATTTAAGTTAAATTAGACGATTTGTGGCCCACGCGGTTCTCTTAACTTTAACAGTATGCATGTAACTCTTCTCACTTTACCAAAACGACTGACTGGGTCTATTAATTCAAAGAAACTTGTATATTTGTGCCGATAAAAAATCTTCGGACCGAATCGGGTACTGGTTTAACTATCGTCCTTGCCATCGTTACCGTTGTCACCCATAAATACATTAAGAACCCGCTTTA